GAGATCCCCCAGAAGTACAAGAACACGGTGCTGGTGCTGTGGAAGCCTGCAGAGAGCAAAGCCCCCTGCACCTACACGTTGGAGCGCAGGATGGAGGGTATGTGGGGCTGCCTCCCGTCCCCTGGGAGCCACAGCCAGAAAGATGGGCTCGCATGGGGACACCAAGCCAGGCCAAAAGTGCCCTTGCTGTCCCCTGGGGCTCAGCAGGGTCCCGGGTCAGGGGTGGGGTACAGGGGACTGCCCTTGGGCTGCCCTCCCCTCACGTTGTCCCCACCCTGGCAGGGGAGCACGAGTGGAAGATCGTCAGCACCGGCATTGCCGATTGCTACTTCAACGTGACAGAGCTGCCCCCCGGGAGCGCCACGAAATTTCGGGTGGCCTGTGTCAACAAGGCTGGGCAGGGGCCCTACAGCACCCCCTCGGGGAAGGTGTACCTCGAGGCAACAGGTATGTGAGCCCTGTCCCGCAGTGCATGGGGCTGCTGTGGGGTTGGCTGTGGGGCTGTGGCCTCTGGGATGCTCTGGGGGTCCTTGAGACCTAGGGGATCTTCCCCCCAGGGTTTTGGGAAATGGGGAGCTGCTTGCACCCCACTCCGGGCTCACCCCTGCCTGGCTCATACCTCCCTTTGCTCCCTGCAGATGCCCAGGCTGCCCCAGCTAAGGACATCGTTGTCCCTGTCCCCATCTCTGTCCCTGAGAAGGTGGCTTCCAGCCGTTCAACCCAGACACCTGTGGAGCAGCTGGAGCTGCCGGCTGCAGGGCCCTCCACCACCACGCCACCCCGCAAGCACAAGGGAGAGGAGCAGAAGGCAGAGAGGGCAGCGCAGGCAGACGTCCCCCCGGGGGTCCCCCAGGCCCCTGCGCCCCATGAGGAGGGGCTGAGACCAGACCCCGAGCTCCCACCCGACATCACTGTCTGCGTGCCCCCCGAGCTGATGTTCACCCCGCCTCGGACTGTTGCCTCACCCCACACAGACGCTCCCATCCAGGGCTCCCCCACACCCCCCACGGACACGGCCCCCCCACCGCGGGCTCCATCTCCTTCCAAGTCCTCCCCAGTGTCGACCACCCCCAGCTCAGCCCCCACGCTGTCTCCCACCCCCAACGCCACACCCGCGCGGAAGATGCCCACCTACATGGTCACCTCCTTCGTCTCCATGCCCCCCACATCCCCCCCTGCGCAGGAGCTCCCCCCCACCGCCCCATCCTCCAAGGAGCCCTCAGCCGAGAGCGGGGTTCCGGGGGCAAAAGACAGCACGGCACTGCGGCAGGGCGTCCCTCAGAAGCCATACACCTTCCTGGATGAGAAGGCGAGGTGAGTAGCAGTGGGACGGGATGCTCTGCCAGGGGTGTGTGTCTCCCCCCACCACCCCATGTCGGGGATGCCGAGCACCGCCCTGTGCCGCAGGGGCCGTTTCGGAGTGATCCGGCTGTGCAAGGAGAACGCCACGGGGAAACACTTCATGGCCAAGATCGTGCCCTACGAGGCGGAGCGGAAGCAGAGCGTGCTGCAGGAGTACGAGATCCTCAAGGCGCTGCACCACGAGCGCATCATGGCCCTGCACGAGGCGTACATCACCCCCCGCTACCTGGTGCTCATCTGCGAGAACTGCACGGGCAAGGAGATCCTCTACAGCATCGTGGACAGGTACCGGGTGGGCGCGGGGCTGCCGGGGACAGCTGCCAACACAGGGCCACCCGCTGATGCCACTTGCCCCCAAGGTTTCGCTACTCGGAGGACGACGTGGTGAGCTACGTGCTGCAGCTCCTGCAGGGCCTCGAGTACCTGCACAGCTGCCGCATCGTGCACCTCGACATCAAGCCGGACAACGTCGTCGTCTCGGGCATGAACGCCCTCAAGATCATCGATTTTGGCAGCGCCCAGACCTACAACCCCCTCGTGCTGCGGCAGCTGGGGCGGCGTGTCGGCACCCTGGAGTACATGTGTGAGTGAGGCACTGGGGGTGCATGGCATGGGGGCGGGGGCAAATCTGGGGTACGCTTGTGCCCAAGGTGTGCATGTGTGCCCGTGCACTGGGGGGCTTGGGAATGGGGAGGAGTTGAGGTGTCCTTGGGGAAGCTGGGGGGTCTTTGGGGTGCTGCGAGTGTCTGCTGAGGGTTTCTGTAGGGCTGCTGGGCTCAAGTGGGAGAGGTTGGGTGCTGTGGGGCAGTTGGGGTGTCCTTGCAGGTGCTGGGCTCTGGCAGGGTATAGGGGCGTCAAGGAAGGTTGCTGGAGGGTGCAATGGTGGGGTGCTGTGCCTGCTGTGGGTGCTGGGAAGGCTCTGGGTGATGTGGATGCTGTGGGTGCTGGGGAAACTGTGGGTTCTGGAGGTGATGGGGGTGCTGCTGATGCTGGGGGTGCTGAGGCTGGGCCCCAGCACGTATGACAGACCTGCTCCCCTGCCTGCAGCGCCAGAGGTGGTGAAGGGGGACCCTGTGGGCTCCGCAGCAGATGTTTGGGGTGTTGGAGTCCTCACCTACATCATGTAAGAGAAGGGGCTTGGGGGATGAACACCCTGAGGTATAGTCAGCCCCACCCAGGGCTTGGTGCCATGTGGGGCACCAGGCTGGTGGTGGGCTGGAGGATGCTGTAGCCCTGCAGAGCTATCCCAGCTGGATATGGGGATAGAGACACCCTGGGCAGCTGTGGTTGTCCCACACCAGGGGTGGGTGGGCAAGGGGTGCCAGGTGACCTCCCACTGCTGCCCCCCAGCCCGTGCCACCCCATCCACCCTCGCAGGCTCAGCGGACGGTCACCGTTCTTTGAACTGGACCCCATCGAGACAGAAAACCGCATCCTGGCAGGGCGCTTTGATGCCTTCAAGCTGTACCCCAACGTCTCGCAGAGTGCTGCCCTCTTCATCCGCAAGGTCCTCGCCGTCCATCCCTGGTGAGTGTTTGCCCCGACCAGGGAGGACATGTGGCCCCAGACTGCGCCCGTGACCGGGCCAGGCGGGCAGCTCTCTGCCCCACGGGGCCCCTCCGAGCATCATCACTGGGACCTCAGGGTCCATCCCTGCTCCTGGAGAGGGCTGGGATCTCCTGAACCCAGCGCCCTGGGATCCATCTCCACTCTTGGAGAGGGCTGGGACCCCCTGGGTCTTGCAGGGCAGGGGTGGTGGCCAGAGTTGGGGGGGTGCAGCAGCGGTGGGCACCCCGTGGCCCCTGACGCGGAGCCGCCCCTGCCCCAGGAGCCGCCCCACGGTGAAGGACTGCTTTGCCAACGCCTGGCTCCAGGACGCCTACCTGATGAAGCTGCGCCGCCAGACCCTGACCTTCACCACCAACCGCCTGAAGGAGTTCCTGGTGGAGCACCAGCGGCGCCGCGGCGAGGCTGTCACCAAGCACAAGGTCTTACTCCGCTCCTACCAGGGTGGCCAGCCACCGGGGCCACAGTAGCCGGTGCCTCGGCCACGGCCGCGAGGGGCCGAGGAGCCAGAGGAACATTCCAGGGGCCGTGGGACGGGGCGGCCGAGGAGGAGCCAGGATGTGCCCACGGACCTCACACGCTGTCGCCGGGGATGCTGGTGGCCGGCATCATTTTGGCAATGCCGATGGAGAGGGGAGGTGCAGCCCCAGCTGGCCTGATAGTAGGGTCTGGCGGCGGGAAGCCTTGCTGCGAGGAATGGAGAACGCGGCAGAGGGGCAGGAAAACGATGGGATGGGGACGGGGGAAGCAGGAGATCCGCCAGCACGCCGGCCAGCCCTGGCCACACGGGTCCTGCCAGCCGTGTGCCTTACGCCACAGCCTGCCCCCCTGGCCACAGCGCGGGGGTCCCTGCGCTCCCCCCGGTTTGCACGCCAGCGCCCGAGGACTGAGGCTGCTCCAGTGGTTCCTGCAGAGAGGGGCCCGCTCGCAGCCCCCGCTGCGGTCCCCCCGCCAGCCGGCACAGCCCCGGTCCTCACGGCTGGGAGCGGGGGCTGCCAGCCCCTTACCTTCCGCCCCTCCCAGCCCCAGTCCTGGCAAGTGGGTTTGTGGCCCCAGGACTGACACCGGTGCCTTCCCCAGGGCTGTCGGCTGCGCCCCGCACCGGGGTGGGGGGGGGGGGCTGGCTGGCACCCCCACCCCTCCTCCTTTGCAGGGGGGCACCCACGTGCCACGCATACCTCCTGCGTCTGCTCAGGCCCACGCTGCTCACGCTCTGCCCACCCGGCTCTGGCCCTCGCCCTGCGCCCCGCCGCCAGCCCGTCCCCAGACCCCCCCAATGCACCCCCCCACCACCCCCCAGTGCCACGGTGTAGCCCCACAGGGGCCTCACCGAGCCTCCCACCCCCCTCCTCGGCTGGCAGCAGGATGCTCCAGTGTGGCCGGGGTGCTCTGGGTGGGGGGCCGGGGGCAGCGGTTGGGCACCCATCTTCTAGGCGCTGCTGTAGCGATAGGGCTTTATTTATTTTGACTTTGGGGAGAAGACCTCTGCCTGTCCCCACCCTTGTCCCTGTCCCCTCCTCTCCGCCGGACTCCGGAGTTGCCAACGTCCCCGTGGTTTGGAGCAAGCAACGTGCCAGAGCAGCAATAAAGACCTTGAGCAGCCGGTCCCGCCTCTGAGCCTCGACGGGAGGGGACGTGGGGCGGGGTGGGGGTGGCGACGGGAAGCGTGGGCAGAGCTGCCGCCGGGGGCTCGGCACCTCGGGCGGGTGCTGCCCCAAAATGCGGGGCCCCGAAGCCAGGAGGGCTTCCCGGTGGGTCCGGGCTGGGAAGGGTGCCGGACACGGGGGAGAAGGAAAGCTGGGGGTGGGGCTGGCTCACGGGGCGCTCGCCAACGTGGAGTGACAGTAGCGGGAGCCGGAGGGCCCGGGGGCGGCGGTGGGTGCCGGCGGGGGGCACCCCGCCGCCCACACGGGCTGTAAGCCCACCCCACCCGCGGCCACGGCCCCCCGCGGACACCCACGCACCCCCCCCCCCACGCCGCGCGCCTCCCCTCCCGCCGCTGCGGCGCCCCCTGGCGGGTCGGTGGGCGCTCTCCGCCCGGCGCGACGACGCGCGAGCGCCCCGGCGCGCTGACGTGTCTCAGCCACGTGTGCGGAAGTGGCGGGGGAGGCGGCGGCGGCGGCGGGCCCGGTGCTGCGGGAGCTGCGGGGGGCCGCCATGCCGCTGAAGGCGGTGATCCTCATCGGGGGCCCGCAGAAGGGTAAGTGCGGCCGGGCCCGCGGGGGGTGGGTGGGTGGGGTGTGTGTGTGGGGGGGGTGGTCCCGCCGGTGCCGGGTGTCCCGCCGGTGCCGGGCCCCGCCGACCCCCCCGCCGCCGCCCCGCTGTGCTCCGCAGGGACCCGGTTCCGGCCGCTGTCCTTCGAGGTGCCCAAGCCGCTCTTCCCCGTGGCCGGGGTGCCCATGGTGCAGCACCACATCGAGGCCTGCGCCAAGGTAAGGGGAGGGGTGGGGGGGCGGGGGTCCGGGGGGGCTCCGGGGTCACCCTCCCCCCCCTCCCTCCGTTCCCCCCCCCCCCACAGGTGCCCGGCATGAAGGAGATCCTGCTGATGGGCTTCTACCAGCCCCACGAAGCCCTCAGCCGCTTCCTGGTGTCGGCGCAGCAGGAGTTCAAGATCCCCATCAGGTGGGCAGGAGCCCTCGCACCCCCCCGGGGTACCCACGGTGCCACCACCCGGTTCGGCTCTTGCCCGCCTCCCCCCGGGCTGTCAGCCCCCCCCCCCCCCCCCCCCCCCCCCCCCCAGCCCCCACCACGGTTGGGCACAGCTGACCTCTCCCACATTAGCTCTGCCAAATTTCCCTTGCCCTGGGCCCTGCCTTGGCTGGTTCCTGCGCCAAAGATGCTTCTCCGCCACAACTCCAAGCTGCCACAACTTTCTTCCCCTGTGCCAACGTCCGCGTGAGCCCCGGCGCTGTATGGCAGGATTATGTCTCTCCAGCCCCTGCCAGCCCTTCCCTGCCCTGCTGCTGGTCGCTGCCAGCAGGCACCCGCTTCCCTAAGCTCTCTTTTCTCCCTGCTTGGCTCGCAGGTATCTCCAGGAGTATGCAGCCCTGGGCACGGGTGGTGGCATCTATCACTTCCGAGACCAGATCCTGTCAGGTGGTGCTGAGGCTTTCTTTGTCCTCAACGCGGACGTGTGCTCAGAGTTCCCCTTGCGGGAGATGCTGGAGTTTCGGCAGCAGCACGGGGACGTGCACAGCTTTGTCATTCTGGGTACCACAGTGAGTGGCAGTGTTGGGGAGCAGAGGAGCGGCGACGCTCGGCCGCGGGCTTGCGGAAAAGCCAGCGGCTCCTGCGGTGGATGGGTCCTTGGGTGTGAGCTCCGGGTCTCATCTGCTCTGCCTCCGCACGCCCGCTGCTCCACCGTTGCTAACACATCCTTGTTCTGCAGGCCAACAGGACGCAGGCGCTGAATTATGGCTGTATTGTGGCAAATGCAGACACGCAGGAGGTACCGGAGGGCCTCGGGGAAGCTGGGAATAGCGTGGGCAGCGGGTGTTGCACCAGAGTGCCACAGAGGGTGTGATGCTGGGTGTGGGGGCTGCACCCTGGGACTCGTGTCTCTTCCTTTGCCTTCAGGTCCAGCACTACGTGGAGAAGCCCAGCACGTTTGTCAGCGAGATCATTAACTGTGGCATCTACCTGTTCACGCCTGCCATCTTCCAGCACATCGGTGAGGTCTTCCAGAGGAACCAGCAGGAGCTAGTGCTGTGAGTGCCTCTTTCTGCCCTGTGTCCCTCCCGCCCCACTGCTTCCCAGGGCTGCAGCGGCACGCTCATCCTCCATTCTTTCTCTATCTTCTCTCCTCTTCTGCCATCACTCACTTGTTTCCTGGTCCTGCACCAGCTGTCCTTACCTTGGGTAAGTCTCCCTCTGTGTCTGCACTGGCTGCTCTCTGGCCTGGATTGTCCCTGGCAGTAACGCATGCTTTCCTCCCTGCTCCAGGCCACTCTGCAAGGCTGCTCTTTCTTCTGCTTCCCTCCCGGCCAGCTTGAGTCTCCCCCTCTCCCTTCTCTCCTCCCACACCCCATTCTCATTCAGCTCCAGACAAGGGGCTGAGCAAGCCTGCCACTCAGGAATGCTCTGCTCCCCGCTCCAGCTCGCCTCTCACCTGACATCTCTGCCACCACCCAAGCAAAAATCCAGCTGTGCAGGGCTCTGGAGCAGGGGCAGGAGCTGTTGCTCATATACCCACCATGACTGGGTGGAGCTCTTGCACCCTCAACTTCTGTCTCAGAGCTTATTTCAGCTGGCAGGGCCCTATCCCTCTGTTGCTCTGGGGCTCAGTGGGGCTGTCCCCACCTTTGGGGAGAAGTGCATGGCTAGGTAGGAGTCTAGGATTGCCGGAGCCCCTGGATTTGGGGAGGGTAGCTGCTGGGGTCCCTGGCTGAGCCCGTGACTGGGGTGGGTGTCTAATGGGCCTCTCATTTGCAGAGAAGAGAGTTCCAACGGCTGGCAGCGTGCAGAAGTGATCCGGCTAGAGCAGGACGTTTTCACGGCACTGGCTGGGAGCGGCAAACTCTATGTCTACAAAACTGATGGCTTCTGGAGCCAGATCAAGTCAGCTGGGTAAGGGCTGGGGCTAGAGCTGGCGCAGCAGGAGGATCAAGCGATCCCGACGAAGGCTGGGAGAGAAGGGTGCCCAGACAGGGCTTGGGAGTGGGTGCGGGCTGCTGAACTGGGGCCCTCCTCTGCCCTGGTAGTGCCGAAGAGGCAATAACAATCTTTTGCTTTTCTTCCCCCAGCTCTGCTATCTATGCCAGCCGCCTTTACCTGAACCAGTACAGCAAAAGCCACCCCGAGAGGCTGGCCCAGAACAAACCTGGAGGCCCTATCATCCGAGGTACCTCTCTGACAGCCCTCACCACCACTTTGGGGGCTGCCTGGGGAGGCAGTGGGACCCATGGGCAGGACCTCCCCTGATCCAAGAGGCAGATGCTCCCGTGAGCTGCCTCCCCTGACACAGCTGCCTTGTGTTGCAGGGAATGTGTACATCCACCCGACGGCCTCCATCGACAGCACTGCAGTGGTGAGTGCAGGCCTGGGGGTCCCTGTGGCAGGGCGAGGCTCGGGGGTGCTGAGGGCACCGTTGTCCTTGACCTCATCGCCTCCCTCTGTCCTCACAGCTGGGCCCCAACGTCTCCATTGGGGAGGGGGTGACGGTGGGAGCTGGTGTGCGTGTGCGAGAGTCCATCGTCCTGCACGGTGCCTCACTCCACGTAAGTAGGGTTTGCCTGAGGGTGGGGGTGTCAGCCCCCCACCCCTTGCAGAAAGGCAGCAGCACCCTTCCTGCCCCTCTCCTTCACCCCAGGACCACACCTGCGTCCTCAATACCATCGTGGGCTGGGACAGCACCATCGGGCGCTGGGCCCGGGTTGAAGGAACGCCCAGTGACCCCAACCCCAACGATCCCTATGCCAAGATTGACAGCGAGACCCTTTTCCGGGACGGGCGCCTCACACCATCCATCACAATCCTGGGTACGTCCTGCCCTCACCCACCTGCCCCAGCTCTGCACAGGGGGGCAGAATCTCTCCCCTCTTGCTCACCCCTTTGTGCTCTTCCCGCAGGCTGCAGCGTCACCATCCCCGCTGAAGTTGTTATTCTCAACTCCATCGTCCTTCCTCACAAGGAGCTGAGCCGCAGCTACAAAAACCAGATTATCCTGTGAGTCAGCAGCTTGCTGGGTTAGGGGCCCCAGCGCCAGCCACCCACTCCCTGCTGTGTCCCACAGCCAGAGCCTGTGCTGAGGCTTCACCTCCTGGGAGGTTCCCAGCACCCCCAGAAGGGTAGGTGCAGGCCAGGATCCCTGCAAGTGCCTGACTCCTACTCCAGACAGACATTAAAGCTGGTGAGCATCAGCTTTGAGTGCTGCTTCTCTCGCAGCCCAGGGACCAGCCCTGGGGCAGGGCGAAGGCTTCAGGGGAGAGCACGTGGCCCTGGCACCAGGCTCTGTGCCCGTGTAGGGAGCTGTTGAGGGAACACTCACTGCCTGCAGCACCTTCAGTCCAGCTTTGGGTGTTTCTCCACCAAAGGGCGCTATCACCAGCATCTCGCCACCCCTCACCAGGCTCTCCCTGCATCAGTTGCTGTCTGCAACTCCTCAGAAGGTCTCGACCCATCTCAGAGGCTGGGGAGCTTTCAGTGTGCCTGTTCTGCAGAAGCAGCTCACCCTGCAAGAGCTGGTTGTGAAGATCCCAAGTTCAGCAGCGTGGTTGCAACAGCCTGAGCTGGGCTCCTGCTTACTGCTGGGAGAACAGCAGCACCAGGCTGGCCTGAGGGCACTGGCACACAAGGGCTGGGTTGGACAGGGAGGCTGCTGGCTCTGGAGGGAGCTGCAAAAGCACCCCTTCTTCCCGCAGCACCACCTCTGCCCCCCAGGGCTCAGCGTGAGCCAGGAGAGCTGCCAGCCCTGCCGAGCCTGCTCCCATCAGGCTGAGACTTGTGCAGGCTGCAGGATGATGGTAGCAGGCCCCTGCCACCCTGGTGAGCCAACAGCCTCCTCTGCACCCTGGGTGTAGCTTGGGGGCTCACTGCATGTCTCCCCTCACACCAGCCACATCCACAGGAGACCGTGTTACATGCATGCAGGTCACAGAGAGCTAGTGCCTTGCTCTGTCTCAAAAAAGCCTGGTTTTCTTGAAGGCAGTTCCCAGCTGATGCTGGCACAGTCTGTCTGTGGTAACCAACACTGCCCTTTGTCTACTTACCTCCCCATCCTTACCTCCGGTTTTGGAGGTCTGTGTTTAGGCCCTGCACTCCACCAAGGGCCCCATCACACCTCTTACCTTCAGGGAGGCACTGCATTAGGGATTCTCTATCCATCCAGTACCACCCTGGCTTGATGGATTTGCAGCAAATCCTTGCTCCCAGCCCTGTGTTTTCCCATGCCAGTTCTGCTCTGGTCCTGGGTGGGGATTAGCTGTTCTCTGGCTTTAAGCACATTAAACTTCAGTTTTGCCTCTGCCTTGGATGTGCTAATTTCCTTGCCCGCTGCTGAAGACCCCTGAGCTGGGGGAAACTGAGCCAGAGCACTTGCTTTCAGGATTGTACCATGAATCTCCTGTGCTGCGCAGCTGGCCTGGCTTTTTGTACAGACAAAGGTTTCTTGGCTTCTGGATGTGGCCCTTGGGCTGGTCTCAGCCCTGTTGTGTAATGCCCTTTTTCCCCTAAGCTCCCCTGGTAGTGGCTGTCCCTTGTGCACAGTTATAGGGGGGGGGGGGCGCAGGCAAGCCCTTGTGCCATTACAGTTTCATCCAGCTTCCCCCTTTTGGTGGGAGCGAACTGTGCATCCCAGCCCTGCTTGGGCTTTGCAGCGCCAGGACTGGAGGGGAGGAAGGAGTTAAAGGGGCCTCCGCTGAGGTGCCAGGAAGTCTGGAAACGCTTTAATAAGGTTGTCCTGCCCTGAGCAGCAGCAGCTCTGATTACTTGAGGCCAACATCTGGGTTGGAAAAGGGGCCTCCAGAATCCTGAGCTCCAGGGCAGGGGGAGGAGGGCTTCAGCTAGAGCGGGGGGAAGGGGACTCCGCAGGGGTTTGGGGAGCACTGCTCACCCTTACTGTCAGCACAGCTCTTGTCTGCTGCCCAGCCAGGCTCCATCATGCCACTGAGCACCTGGCAGCAGCAGGGAGGGACAGACAGCAGCCGCAGCCAACCTTGTTTTGCTGCAAACATTTAATACAAACCCAATCTTAAGTACAGGGCTGGGGCGGGGTGCCCACCACCACAGCTGGGCAGAGCCAGCCCTGCTCCCCAAGCCCCAGGGAAGCAGAGCTGGGCTTGGAGCTGGGCACCACCAGCCCCCAGGCAGCTGCCTGGTCCCGCAGGCTTTGCTCCTCTGACCGTGCCAGCTCCGTGTCCCCAGGGAGCCACAGGCTATATGGGAGAAGGGAAGAACCGGCCCACCTTCCTCGGGGCCGGCCCCTGCCTGCGTGGGGAGAGATGAGTCAGGGGTGCAAAAGCGAGCTCTCCTGGGCCCCCCACCCACAGCCAGCAGCACTCACGGGGGCCGGGCGGCCGTGCCCACGCAGCTCCGCAGGGTGCTGGGGAGGCAGCAGGTGCCAACTGGGCTCAACTGGCCTGGCTTGGGCTCCACGGAGGTGACGGGGTGGAAGAGCAGCTCTGCAGGACAGAGGTAGGGGATGCCTATTGCACCCCAGCCCAGCTACAGGCACCCAGCACCCTTCAAAGCAGCCACGGGGCAAGGGCAGGGGGGAGGCCCGGGGCTCCTGTGCCTTACCACGTTCTTTCCCTGGGGTCGCTGTCGGCACCAGGTTCTCCTGCTCTGTCCCCAGGAAGCCTCTCCAGAAGTCGGGGGGCAGCGAGAGGAGCCGAGCCACCACCTGGGCGGGGAGGGAGGGAGGTTGGGGATGCTGGCAGCACCCGGGGTACACCCCGCGCCTCAGGGACCCCCCTCACCTTGCACTGCCGCGGCGTGTCCTCCATGATGACAAGCGGCGTGGGGTTGGCCGAGCTGTGTCCCACCAGTGTGGGACCAAACACACGGGACAGGTTGAGGATGTCCATCTTGCAGTCGGGGCTGCGCGACACCCTGGGAGGTGGGACAGTGTGAGCACACTGCCCCCGCCAAGGGGACCCCCATCCTCAGCCCAGCTTCCCCACCCTGAGGCGCAGAGATCCAGGACATGGGGACAGATCCCTGGGTCCCCCTGTCAGGATGAACCCCTCACCTGAGGAGGTGCAGCATGAGGAAGGCCAGGGTGTCCCTGTTGGCTGGGGGCAGCTTGCTCACCACGTGGCGCAGGGCTGTGCTGCAGGCAGCATCGTCTGGGATGTCTGTGGCAGCACCCGGGAGCCGTGTTAGGGGATGAGCAGCCCTTTCCCCCCTCCCGCCACCTCAGGGCCCCTGCTCACCAGCAGCCTGCAGGAAAGCAGGATGGAGGCTGAAGGTGACCAGCGGCTCCTTGAGCCCCCGCAGAAAATCCTTGAGCACCCCACACACCACGTGGATGTCAGCCACGCTGCGGAGGGCGGGGAGCATGCCTCCAGCCCGCAGCAGCCTCTGCTTCCACTCCCGCACCTGTTGCTCCATGCCCGGCACCCGGTACAGCCCTGTCTGGGGCACAGGGAGAAGGGCTCAGCCCCACAGGGACCACGGCATCGCCACCCCCACCGCCCCAGCCACTACCTCCATCAAGCCTCGTCTCTCCACCTCGGTCACACACTGCACCACCAGCGCGGGCACCAGGGGTGGCGTGGGGGGAGCAAAGTCAGCCAGCACGCCCTGGGAAGGACAACACCGACCCGCTCTGTGCCTGCGCCCAGCCCCAAGGGGACACGGGGCAGCCCCTGAGCGCTGCCGTGCCCCCCTCACCTCACAGGGCCAGGCACGGTGGCGAGGCCGGGGTGCGCAGCGGCTGGGGCACTGCTCCCGGCACTTGGGGTGCAGCAGCAGCTGGCACTGGCGGCACTTGATGGCAGCCTTCCCGAAGCGGATGCGGGAGCCACAGGCACCGCATGGCTCAGGGCGGATCACCTGGAGAAGGGGGGAGCAGGGTCAGGTTCCCCCCCTTCTTGCAGATACCCAGGATCACTCCATCCCCCCCCCCCCCCCCCCCCCCCAAACCAGCCCCCACTGCCTCTATTCACCCCCCACCCCATGCAGGAGGAGCTGGGTGGTGGAGGATGGAGGAGAGCTTCGCCCCCCGCCCAGCTCCTTTCTCTGTAGCAGCCAAGAGGAGGGAGAGAGGCTGGGACACACACCGTTTTGGAGGTGAACTGGTGCTGGAGTGGTGGGAGGCTTTGTGGAGGCGAGGGGATGGGGGCCAGTGCTGGCTGCCCCACGGAGCCACCCTCGGTGTGGCTCTCCTGCCCCAGGGCACGGCAGCCCACGTCCTCACTGGTGCCCCACACTGTGGTCAGCTCTGGAGAGAGAGAGGAGGCACTGGAAGGGTCCCAAAAGGCAAACCACCCCAGCTCCTGGCTGGGACATGGGGAGGCTTCCCACCTCCCAGGGAACCCCTACAGCATCCCAGCTGCCCTGGGACAGTGGCATGTGGTATGTCCAGAGGACCCCAGTACCCTCACAGTGGGGACAAACACCCCAACAGATCCCCTCCCTCCCCTGCTACAGCATCACCCTAAGGCTGGTCGCACACCACCCACGAGCCCCTTCCACAGCCCTTCCCGTGACCTGCACGTGTGGAGATACGATGTCCCTGGCGAGAGCAGCGGCGTGGCACCAGAGCAGCGGGCAGGACGCTGCCAGCAGGGCCTGGGACCTCAGCAGGAGGGGACACAGGGGGGACACTCGCCTGCCGAGATGAGCAGGGGGGGGAAAGTGAGAACCATGACTGGCTGCAGCCCCACAGTGCTCCAACATCCCCCCGTGAGCTCTGCTCCGCCTGCTCCATGTCCCTGTGGTCTGGCACAGCCAGGGATGCTGTCACCGTGGGCACAGGGGGACACAGGCTGAAGGGCACAGGCGCCCAGAAGGGTCAGCCGAGCACCTCCAGACCCCACAGCCCCACAGGTGCGTGAGGACTGAAGGTTGCAGCGTGACCTTCTGGCACGAGGTCTGCCCATGCACCCCATCCCTGCCCAGGGCATACTGCAGTCCCTACTCACCACGTTTTGGGGTGCCACAGAAGAACGGTGCCGCTTTGCCACCACCACAGGGCCAATCTGAGGGGCCAGGGACACACGCTGGGGACAGAGAAGATGGGGTGAAGGGTAGGCAGGGTCGCTCTCCATGAGTCTGCCCCCCCCCCCCCCCCTCCCTCGACTCCAGAGTATCCAAGCTAAGTGGTCTCAGCCCCACAAAAGGTCCTGGGCCTCACCCTGTCCCCCCAGCATTGCCTGCCCCACACCAGGCACTGTGGGGACCCAGGCCCCCCACCTGGGTCAGAACCAGCCCTGGGGCTGGGGGAGGTCAGTCCAGGCCTGCAATGCAGAGGTGTGAGCAGAGCAGGGTGCGGGATGCCCGCACGTGTGGATGAATTATTGAGGAGCCCTGCTGGGCCACGGTGGAGGGTAATGGAGTTTCTATTGATTGTGGGAGGTTTGCTGAGAGATGACGCTCCCAGCTGAGCATCAATAAATTAAACCCCCTGCCAGGCTCCGTGCAGCCTCCTGTACTGGGATGGAGAAGTATCTGGGTGCCCTAACCCTGCGTGGCCCAGGGCCAGCACCCCAGCCTGGGCTGCTGACCTGTGCGGGCAGAGGGTCCCAGGGGCACAGTGCAGGAGACCAGAGCAGACCCAGGGGATCCTCTCCCACGCCGGGGCGCAGACCCCACCTCAACACCAGCCCCCCCACGCTGCCGCATCCCAGCGTTTCCCTCGTACCTGCCTCTCCTGGGCTTTGCGCTTCAGGGTCCGCACCACCGTCGTGTCAACGTTCTGAAAGGCAGCCGGGAAGCTGGAGCTCACGGGGCTGCACGGGGCCAGGAGCACCCCCAGCTTCCATGCTCCGGCTCCGACGGCAGCCCACACCTAACCACGGCCATGCCAAGGGACTGCCCCACTGCAGGAGTGGGGAAAAACCACCCGGTCGCTGCTGGGGAGGGGAACGCTGGGTCTTGCAACAGGTCGCTCCTTACCACATCGTCCTCTGTGCGGTCGTAGCTGATATCCGAGTGCAACAGGAGGGACTGGCAGGACTCATCCACTGCAGATGACCTGTGGAGCAAGCTGGGGGTCAGCCTGGCCAGGGCAGCCTGCCCCCAGCCAGCACCTACTCACACAGCCACTCCTGAGAGCCCGAGCCCCTCTGTGCCCACCCAGCCCCTCGAACCCAGCAGAGGTGAGGTGGAGAGGGGCACAGCCAAGTCCAGGACTGCCCAAGGGGCTGAGGCAAAGACCACCAGCCTTGCTCACCTCCTGCCCGGTGCCAGGGCCACCCCGAGGCGCTGGCCGGCCAGGGCGCTGAGGATGGAGCACTGCTCCCCACTCAGCACCCCGCTGCCCCATGGCTCCCGCATCAGGGACTCAAAGACCAGCTGAAGTTT